GTGCCTTTGTCAAAAATAAGGTGGGCCTAGGTGCATGGATTTATATCTAGGTTTTCAATTCCACTAATTTTAATGTCTATTTTTGTGCCAGTGTCATGTTCTTTTTATTGTTATAGCTCTGTAGTACAGTTTGAAGTCTGGCATTTTGATACCTCAAGTGTTTCTCTTTTTGCTCAATATTGTCTACTTACAGTATTTTTCCTTCCAAATGAGCTTTAGGGTTGATTTTTTCATCTCTGTGATGAATGTCATTGGAATTTTGATGGGATTTCATTGACCATATGGATTGCTTTTGGTAATAGAGCCATTTTCACAATATTGGTTCTGCCAATCCATGAATATGGGAAATCTTTCTGTCTTCTATAGTCTTTTTCAATTTCTTTCTTCAGTGTTTTATAGTTTTCATTGTAGAGGTCTTTCTCTCCCTTTGTTAAGTTCCCTCCTAAGTATTTTTTGAAGCTACTGTAAATGGAATTGTTTTCCTATGTTCTTTCTCAGTCATTCATTGTGTATATATAGAGATGCTATAAATTGATTTTGTATTCTGTTATTTTGCTGAAGGTGTTTATGATGTTTAAGAGTTCTTTTAGTGGAATTTCAAATCTCCTGTGATCCTTCATAAGTTTATTCTTACGTATTCCGTCATCTTCATCAATGACATGGGAATATATATTATTGTGAACATCTGAATTTCTTTCTATCTCAGGGACTAATATTTTTCTTATTGTAAAATTGTTTTCTTTTTTTAACTTTATTTATTTCTTTTATTCATATGTGCATACAATGTTTGGTTCATTTCCCCCCCTTCCCGTCGCTCCCTCTCTTTCCCTCTTTCCTCTCCCTCTCCCCCCACCCTCTTGCTACCAGGCAAAAACTATTTTGCCCTTATCTCTAATTTTGTTGAAGAGAGAGTATAAGCAATAATAGGAAGGACCAAAGGTTTTTTGCTAGTTGAGATAAGGATAGCTACACAGGGAGTTTACTCACTTTGCTTTCCTGCACATATGTGTTACATTCTAAATTAATTCTTCTAAAACTAACCTTTTCTCTAGTTCCTGGTCCCCTTCTCCTATTGGCCTCTGTTGCTTTAAAGTTTCTGCATTAGTTTCTCTGCATTGAGGGCAACAAATGCTATCTAGTTTTTTGGGTGTCTTACCTATCCTCATACCTCCCTTGTGTGCTCTCACTTTATCACGTGATCAAAGTCCAATCCCCTTGTTGTGTTTACCCTTGAACTAATGTCCGCATATGAGGGAGAACATACGATTTTTGGTCTTTTGGACCAGGCTAACCTCGCTCAGAATGATGTTCTCCAGTTCCATCCACTAAAATTGTTTTCTTAATGCAGAGTCCCATTATCATGTGGGAAGTATAAAGACTTACCTATCTGTGCTTCACAACTGTAAGTTGATAGATTACTGTATGGAACTAACCTCAGAATATATTTGGTACCGAAGTGTGTGTTGCATCACAGATGTACATTCTGGTCACCACCATGATAAATACCTTCATTTCCAGCCTAAAGAATTGCAACATTGAAAGTACCCTGAGAAGGTTCCATAGCACAATAGTCTAAACTTAGGACCTGTTCCTTCCATTTGGAATCCAGTTTGGAAAAAAAACAATTAAAGAAACCATCTGGAACAATACATTGTTCTTCTTTACTCACATTATTTTTGTAGATTGCAGGCTTAAATATTTCATCCTATTATATAGTGTAATGATCATTGTGAAGGCTGGGAAAGTGAGAGTGTATAGTTTTTAAAGTGGATGCAAAGTTTCACTTTGGGAATTTGAAATATTTCTGAAAATGGAAATTGGTGATAGTTGTACAGCAAATTTATGAATTTAATAATACTTAATGTTCACACAAGAAATGGTTAAAATTATAAGTTTGTATATATATATATATATATATATATATATATATATATATATATATATATCTGTATATGTAGTCACAATAAACAATGGAAAGAAAACACTTAATGGATCTTTTTGTTGCAAAAAAGAAAAAAAAATCTAAAGTAGTGACTGCTTTTGATATATTCCCCATGAGTAGCAAAAGAGCCCAGAACCTTGGTGGACTGTCATTTTTTTGTCTTCCTTTTCTTCTACAAATATTAGGAAACCCTTAGGAATTGTACTAACCTGGAACAATTTTTCTAATGGTGAGCTCTGTGCATTTGATCCCCAGAGTCATAATTAACCATTTCTCCAGACCTTGAATATGATGGTTCCATTTCAGTGGACTACATAGCAGTGTTTTCCCTGCCATGGTTGTCAGCATCAGAAAGCTCTAATCTCATCTTGTATTCATATCAGTCCTGAGAAAGTAGCCTGAGCTTTTTGTGCCACAAGACAGGTGAGATTCTCTGGATTCTCAGCCCTTGGTATGATGCAAGAGAGAAGCTTAAGCCAGTAAGTGCTAAGGGAGGTATTGGAAAGAAAAAGCACCATCAGAAATGTTTTCTCACCATCAGGGTATTCTTTTGGTAGCCAGATGGCAAAATATTCATATGCAATTTATGTTTTGGTTATATTAAGGGTCTTAGACACTTCAGTCAAGGTTTTCTTTCCTCCCCACATGAACTCTTATTCCCATAGTCTTCTCACCCATGAAAGCATAGAATGATTCCCTCAAAACTGTTTTCCAAACATTCCTAAATTATTATGGAAATGAGAAGAGAGAAGAGGACAGTAACCACAACATAGTGAACCATTATTGAAGAATTCCTGAGTGCCAAGTTCTGAACTGTGAGTTATACATCATTTGATTCCATTCTTCTGATGACTTTTCACCAAGTCATAAGTGCCCACTTCAGTTTCCAGAAAAGGGGAGAGAATAGAATTTAAGTGCTCTAGGATTTTAGGAAGAAAATAGTGAAGGCATGCTTGAAGTGGGCTGTCTGATCATGGAGACATGACATTTTGTCAGAAGAATCTTGCCAGGTTGTTCCTTGACAACCCAAATATCCACTTCACTTTCTTCTCACTCCAGTAAAAGACCCCTCATTTATTGGGCTCTTCCCACTGGAGGTTTTCAGTAAATTACAGTGAAAAGTAGTGAGTTGTACCAGTTGTATCTACTATAGGAAGGAGAGTTAAAGATCACAGGCAAAAATCACAGAAAAAGTATGATCACAGAAATTCAACATGGAACTATCAGTTTTCCCCCACCAACCTGCAGACTCCAGGATGACTTTGAAGCTGTTCACTCCTCATCTATCCTTTAGTCAGCCCACTTTATCTCAAGAGAAATTTTAAAATCATGTCTTTGTTGAATTTCTACTAGTAAAATGGGTATAGTTTTGAAACATAGCTCAGATATATGTTTAGATTTCTGGATCTCTGCACTGATAAAATAATAAAATACATTAGATTGGCTAAGACACACTGCAATATTTTGCAATGTGTAACAAAATCTAGTTTCAAAGACAGAATGGTTGTAGTAGTGCTCTATTTGTATTCTACAAATGGTAATTTAAAATTCTATTTAGTGCTATTTTCATTAAATAGGAGGAAGAACTTTAAACTATATGATGGTTAGGAAAACAAAAAAAATTTAGTTTTCATTCTCAGAAATAATTTATTTTTGAATCCAGTCAACTTCATTTATTATTTCTATGACACTGAGTAGATTGTTAGTATCTCTGTAACTCAGCATTGTCATTGGACATGATTTCTCCTAGGTTAACTGTATTATAGGAACAGACTTAGTGTGAGCCCTGTGTCTGTATGACTATTTCAATAACTATGGAATAGTAGCTAGGAAGGAAACATTTTTAAGTTCTCATGTTATTGATTGTGAACTTTATTGATAGTAGTAATAAATAATAATAATGGAACATTTTCTAATAGACAGGAATTATTCTATTGCAGTGATTACAATCCCTGGAAAAAAGGATGGAATTTGAAGAACTTTACATTTATTTGTTAAATTGATTTTGGTGAATGCAAAGTGTCTGGATATTTTATAAATATCCACAAATGAATATATAGATATATGATGCTGAGAAATATGCATTTATGCAAGTTAATAGATTTTTAAAGCTGTGCACCATGTTCATACCTATATTCCCAGCTACTTGGGAAGTGCAGACAAGTAGGGTGGTTGTTCAAGGCTGGATAGAGTTAACAGTGAGACCCTCCATCTCAATACATAAGCCCAGACATGGTGACTCATACCTGTGATCCCATCTGGGTGAGATGTCTTATGTAGGTAGATCCTTAGGAAAAACAAGAGAGTCTACTTGAAAAATAACTAAAACAAAAATAGACTGGATATGTGGATCAGGTGATTTAATGCTTGGCTAGCAAGCATAAAGCCCTAAGACAAATCCCAAGTAGTGCTAAAAGGATATTTTAAACTTTTATTTCTATGGAGTCAGTAATATTTGCCCCCATTTTAAAGATGAAGAATCTGGCCATTTGTGTTCATATTATTTCTTCTCATTTTTCTCTTTTGCATTTTCCCCATTCAATCATGGTGTGAGGTGACAAAATAATGAACCAAATGGTCTTTGTGTAACCTAATAGAATTGTCCATGTATCAGAAAGTATTGAGAAGAAAGCGTAATAATTCAACTCAAGAATATTTAGACAAAACCATGGGCTTGGGGCTTTCTCTGGAGATAGAATCCTTCATTGTAAATAAGAGTATTCTCTTCAGAAGAACAGTAAAGCAGTATTAACAAGCTACTTAAGAATACTGAACCAAGGATTGGGAAAAAGCAAAGAGCTGTCTTATACACCAAATATTTTGGTGAGATTGTGTGGTTTCAAACAAACAAGCAAACAAACAAACCTGCAATAATAAAATAATTCAAAAGTTTTTCTGAACATTTCTTATTTTTAAATCATTAACAGGGACAGAGTATACTAATACCATATTTGTAGTTAACAACAGTGTATAATGATGTGTATTTAAATAATGTTTATCAAAATTTGATGTCCATAGACCATAAAACAAGTTATTTTAAGGGGAGGGCACTAGTGCGATGGGGTGGGTAAATGAAGAGGGTAAAGGAGGGTACATATTTTGGAGGTACTTTCTATATATGTGTGAATATGGATCTTTGAAACCTGTTGAGGGCATTTTAAGAAGGGGGAGAGGGAAGAGGGAGAATAATGGATGGGATGAACCAAATAAGGGTACATTATATGTATATATGGAAATGTCACAATGGAACTCCTGCATAACAATCATACACTAATAAAATGTCAAAAAATTTGAAGTCCACCACAGAAAAATCATTTTGAATAAATGTGTTTTACTTTGTGTTTTAAAAGAAAACCTACAAACTATTTATAACTTGGAGCCATATGATGTTTTGTTACATGTATACATTGTGTAATGTTTAAATCAGGTTAAATTGATCTATCTCCTCAGTCATCTTTCCTTTGTTAAATGATTTTTCAAAGACAAACAAAAATTAAATGAGAACTTCCAACCAAGAAAAAGTAAAATCAGAAACCAATAAAGGATGAAGCTCCTGAAAAACAACTGGTGTAAAATAATATTTTCTGATTCTCATCTATGAAGTTTAATACAGTGTTCAAATAATATCATTTAAACTCTGATAGAGTCATTTTAATACATTTTTGAATTAGCATACATTAATACAAATGAGTTCCATTGTGAAAATTCCATACATGCGTATAGTGGACTTTGAATAAGTTCCCACCCACTTTTTTCATTACTGGTTTCATTATGCTACAAAAAAGGATACACTTAAAAAATTTAAAGTCAGTGTTTCCTCCTTGAGAAGAGTGTATGCCTGCTTGTCAGTATCACTACAAGCTGTGGTCCTCAGTTACTGTCTTCAGTTCTGTTGTGTGTTTTCAATTTTTTTTCGTTTTATTAGGATATATTTGTTATGCAGGGGGATTCTCATTTCTCATTAGACTAATATTGTACATTAGTTATGTTGCCCCCATTTTCTCTCCCCCTCAACCCTGCGCCTCTTAAAGCAGTCAAGAGGGTTTTCTTTGTTCTATTTCACATAAATATATGAAGTCCATCAACAATATACCCTCCTCTTAATCTACTTGATTCACACTTCCCCTCCCATTTGTACCCTACCCCCCACATTGTATTTATTTTACAGTCCTCTCTTTCATTATTAGTATTTAAGTTGATGTTCAAAGGGGTGTTTCACTGTATGCCCACTGTGGGTATACTTTACTTTCTTCCATTTAACCCAGTCAATTACTCTCCTTTACCCCTTTACCTCCCAATCCCCATTTTCAACAGCTTTCAATACACATCCTCATGTGTCCTCCCAGGCCTAGGATTGACCAGCTGGAAGGAATGATCTTGATTACACACAGCTGCTTGAAGTAAGGCAGGTCCTGTGTGGTAATAGAAACTTTTAGTTTTTGAGCTACTCTGCTGGGGCTCAGAGGGGTGGTTCCAGGCATGTGAGGTGGCAACTAGGGGTCTCGGTGGGGTTCTTGAGCGCAGAGGCTGAATGAGAAAGCACTATGCTACTCTTGAAGCCTGTGCTTTTCCTTGCTCAGAGAGTGCAGTGGTAGCTCTTACTTGTTCACAATGATATTTTCCCCTTTCCCACCTTGTGAGTAGCTCCTGTCACTTATGTATATGCATATCCTGCTGGCCAGCTTGCTTCTATGCCCTTCCTTGTCTTGGGATTCTTGGACGCTGAGCTCAATCCTGCCAGTTTACTTGCTTCCATGTCTTTCCTTTGGATTGAGAAACTGACCCAGAAAATTCATTCCCTCCCTTGGTCCAGGGCCATGCGTGGAGGCTTTTCTCATACTGCTTACTCAAAGGTTTTCTCAGGGGTCAAATGTATTTGTATCTGCACACTGAGATTAGCTGGGTGGTAGTCCTCAGTAGAGGCTGCATAAATAATAATGTCAAGGAAATTTGTACCTTTGTCTTAGATTAAAATACGACATATTAAACTACTTCTAAATTTCCTTTAATTAGAAGGATATTTTCATAGGAAAGGATATTCCTTTCTATATCATGTTAAGAATATTCTGGAGCCAGGTACAATGGCTCAAGTCTATAATACTAGCAATTTGTGAGGTGGCAATCAGGTGATTATGGTTAGAGGCCAGCCAGGGTAGAAAGTTCAATGTTTGGGTGCAGAGTCATGCAAATGTCATTCCCAGTTATAAGGAGAAGCACAAATAGGAGGATGTCACAGTCATAAAGAAAAACCCTATCTCAAAATTAGCTAAAGCCAAAAGGATGGGGGGTGGGTCACCTGTCAAGTGGTCCATGGCCTGCCTAGCAAGCATGAAGCACTGACTTCAACTCCAGCATTGCCAAAAAGAGTATTCTGTATTTTCCTGTTACCATGGACTTCTTTTTGATATTCTAACATTGTTGAGCTTAGTGTCTGTACGTAAGTGTGCATAGAAAGTGGTGGATATTGATGAAACTAATGATGAAAGGGTTCTAGATTATTGGGTGTGTCACAAGTGTGAACTATGGTTGAAAGTGTGTGGACCTCCAGTGAGAACATTTTACTTTTGGTGGTAATTTAGGTTTAAAATATATACAAAGTGGTGAGTGCCTCTCTTTCTTTTTTCAATTAATTTTCTTTTTCAAAAGGTGTCCAGACAATATAGAATCAAGAAATCTAACACAGGTATCAGAATTCTATCTCATGATGCCCTTAGAGGATTCAGAACTGCAGCCTGTGCTTTTTGGACTCTTCCTGTCTATGTACCTGGTCACAGTGCTTGGAAACCTGCTCATCATCATGGCCATTACCACTGACTCTCACCTGCACACCCCTATGTACTTCTTCCTCTCTGTCCTGTCCTTGGATGACATCGTTTTTGTCTCCACCACAGTCCTGAAAATGATTGTGAACATCCAAACTAGCAGCACAGTCATTTCCAATGTGGGGTGTCTGACACAGATGTCTCTTTTTATAATTTTTGCAGATATGGATGGTATGCTACTGTCTGTGATGGCCTATGACCGGTTTGTGGCCATCTGTCACCCCTTAAACTATCCAGTCATTATGAACCCCCAACTCTGTGGATTCTTAGTTTTGGTGCCTTTTTTGGTTAGCATTTTGGGTTGCCAGGTACACATTTTGTTTGTGTTACAAGTTACATATTTCAAAGATGTGAAAATTTCTAGTTTTTATTGTGACCCTTCTCAAATTCTTGATCTTACTTGTTCTGACAACTTCTCTCATAATATTTTCAAGTATTTTGTTGCCACCATATATGGTTTTTTCCCCATCTCAGGAATTCTCTTCTCTTATTATAAAATTCTCTCCTCCATTCAGAGAATCCCATTAGGTGGGAAGTATAAAGCCTTCTCAACTTGTGGGTCTCACCTTTCTGTGGTTTGCTTATTTTATGGAACAGCCATTGGTGTGTACCTTGAGACAGCTGTATCAAATGCCCCTAAAAAGAGTGGGGTGGCCTCAGTGATGTATGCTCTGGTCACCCCTATGCTAAATCCTTTCATCTACAGCCTGAGGAACAGGGACATGAAAAGTGCTCTGTGGAAGCTTCAGAGCAGAATTACCTAATATCATTCTTGAGTTCTCACTCTTGTTACAAGATAAGCAAGATACTTACTTTTGTCATCTTAACCTTACCATCCTGTGTAGACTTCTACCTCCCCAGTCCTTTTTATTAGTGAAAGTCTAATCTCATTTTTTTCTTCCATTTTTTTTGTAGTTTGGATTGTGCAACCAATCCCCTTGACCTGGAAATTCTGCTTTCTTAGTCACATTATCTTTATGGCTTCATGGTGTTCCTTTCACTCTGTTTTATATCTGAGCATTACTTTCCTTAATTTCTCTTTGAGTGAATTGTGTGAGTATTCCTGAATTCGTACAATTCTTTATATGAATATTCTTTTTTCTTTTTTTAAAGTAAAGTCATTTTGTTAAAATCACAGTGGAGAAACTATGACCTGAAACAATGAATTGTAAAACTCTCAGGTACTACCTTTTTTGGTTCTATAAACAAAAATACATATGCAGGCCCTGCTGTTACAGTAGATCAGTTATAGGCCCTACACTAATATCTATCATTGTCTTTCCAAGAAAAGATATCACAGGCACAGGATAAATCAAACCTAACTGCATCAGATGGTTTTCAATATCAACTGGTCCAGATGATATTGAAGACTTCATTAGAGTTATGACCATTGTTTCCAGAGGGAAAAAAGACCTCACAGATATCTAAAAAAGAAAAGACCTGTGAAAAGAATATTCTACTCTCTTGGTCAAGCAATTGAGATGATAACAAGAATTTTCAGGAGCCATTAATCTTTTGGTCCAAGAGTACTATTCCAAAAGTGAGAGCTAGCATCAACCGACTCCATCTGAGCTCTCCAGCAGCCATAAACTCAGACTAAACAGCTTCTCATGTTTCCTGGCCTGGTGTACAATAACCAGTTGTGAAGATTTTTTACATGGTTTCTATGCTAAGGCTTATCTCTAAGCATAAGTTGATATGCCCTGGGTACATTATTTTTAATGATCTGAGAGTGCTGAAACTCATTTTAATATCAACAATGGCAGTGGTCCTGATGAGCACTGGAACATCTTAGGGTTGTCTCCAATCACTTTTCTGAGAAACTGGAAGTCACTTTCTCATAGGAAGAAGTGTTAATGGCTGGAAGCATATTTGGATTTTGAAACACTCAAATTTTCCCTTCTGCTTACTTAATATGTTATCGTCCTCTATACAATCTGTAGCAGTACTATAATGCCTATATCAAAAATATAATGCAAGACACATATGTATTTTAAATTTCCAATACCACCTTAAAAGCATACAAGGAAATATTTGAAATTAATTTTAGGTGAATATTCTTTTTACATCATAATCACTGTGTCTAAATCAATATACTCACTCAGTCTGTATAATTTCTGAGCAATAAACCTTACTTCATAGTTTAATGCTAAATAAACTTATTTTTCTCCATTTGTACATGGGTAAAGCAGCATGCTAAATAACTAAGGTCTTATCTGTGTGGGTTTGATTACAGAATCTCATGAAGTATTCTCTGAGTAGTGAAAAAATAAAAGTTTACATCCCAACACCCCTTTTCATAGTTCATATATATTTTCTTCTAAAATTGCACCTAAGACATATATTTAGATAGATTATGTCCATTATATTAGGCCATATAATAGGTCTTCAAGTTTCATTTTTATTTGAATCACCTAGGAAGCTTGAAAATGGTGATGAATTCATCTCATTACCAGAGATTCTGATTTGGATGGATCTGATTAATGTTTCCAAAACTCTTCCAGAAGGTTTCACATGCTGTTCTTACATGGATCAAGCTCACATGGGTAAGATAGAAATGAGCTTATTATATGGGAAAGTGAGATGGTTTTCTTTAAATATCTTCTTTAATTTTACTTTCCTTTAACACCAGATAGTTTGTCCTTATGCTGCTTTTTAAATGATTATATTTCTGTACCAATCTCACCTTTATTAGTTCCCTTTTGATTCTAGGTTGGGACTCTTGAATTCACTGCTGTCTTTCTACCTGTTTTTATTTACACTTTCACATGTAATTACTGAATTTCACTACCAGGAAAATTCAATATATTTCAGTACTCCATTCACAGTCTGAAGCCTTGGTGTTTTAGAATTCCACCTAGTGAGTGTCTATCTCTGTAATCACATTGTTCTCCTTTAGCCTTTGTTTTATAGTGTCCATCAAGTCAATTGTCTATATTTAATTATCTCTCTTAAAATGTTTGTTGACTGAATCTTTAAATTGTAAATCATGACATGTGACTGTGTATGGGGGGATTGTGTTTTCTGTAGTTGGAAACTTTCAAAATGTGCCCAAGGAATGAATCTTGTTTTAAATATATTCCTTTGTTCAAATGTCCAACTGAGAAGTCAGCAGTAGTCTCATGTTTCCAGTTGTATGTCTCTAGTGGTTGAAGATTATTGTCAACAATTTAATTGTACATACATTTAACTTTTTCTTCTTTTATTTTACTCTAATATTGGAATGGTACACGTCACCAGACAAAATCAACTGCTTTCTCACCTAAAATGTAGGAAAAGACCTTGGTATGTGAGACAGTAATATTGTCTTTTACTATCTCATGATAGACTTCCCCATATGTGATGCTTTGATGTTTTTCCAATTTATTTCATGTTTAAAAAAGCCTCACAATATAGTTATAGCTTGCATGAGAAAAGTTTGTAAAATTCATTGTGTCCAACTGAGAATGTTGTATAATCTTCAATTATGGTTGTAAATACAGATAATAGAAAGAATGTGGGATTTGTGGAACTTTGGCACCCTCTTTTTTGTTTATTGGATTTCATAGAATGTTATTTTTTTGAGACTTTGGTATAATTTAAATTTCCTTTTCATTCTTTTTTCAATTATTTATTTTATCATTTTTACATTTACTCTTATGTGTACACATTGTTCCCCCTTCTGGGCAGAACCTGTTCTGCCCTCCTGTTCTCTGATCTTGTTGACAAGAAAACATAAGTGATAATAAGAATGACAAAGCACTTTTGCTAGTTTGAGATAAAGATAGCTATACAGAGAGATGCCTAGTGTTGCTTCCATGCACATGTGTATTACAACCCACCTTGGTTCATCTCTACCAGAGCTCTTCACTACTTCCTACTCCCCTTTCCATAGTGGCCTTAGACAGTTTAAGGTTACTATAGTTTTTCCTCTACAATGAGTACATCAACCACATTCAAATTTTCTTGAATGAGAGTTTTGGCAGCTCATAGGTTTTCTGCGGGCTTCTGTGGGCCTCCTTTCATCTCTGGTGTTTGTCCACACACAGATGAATAGCAACACTTATTTTATGTTTATCTTAATGGGTCATTAGTCAATGACAAAACAATGTCCACATTTGTCAACCAGAGAACTCTCTGCCATGAGGTTTTCATGTATAGACTGTGGAAGGTTGCCAAGGGTCATGATTCCCATGCAACCTAACTTTATTAAATTCAATAAAGACAGGACAAAACAACATTTTATTAAGGACTGTGATGGGGAGATGCACATATGAAACTCTAGAGGTGATTCATTTTGGACTAAGAGGGGTACATTGAAAGCAAAAAGAGAAGCCACTGAGTACATTTGCCGATTTAAGACCCAGAATGACTACAGGTCATTGTAATTTTGTAATGAGACTTAGTATGTGGAAAAAATGCATAGTAGCTTTTTTGATGCTGGTCCAGTATAGTTGAGGCTATACACATTTCCATGACAGAAGAATCATAAAGACAACCATCTGTCAGTTTGTCTGCAGGGAGACTTTGGTGAGAGAATGGTGGTTTATTGGGATGTGGATGTACTGGAAAATAGACAGGTATCCATAGTCTCTGAGAGCTTAATGACTAACATTGAAGGATAGGCCTGGCTCTTTGTTGCTTTGTCACCTATGTGCTTGCACCAACTGAAGCTAACTGCCATGTAGATAGCTATCTGATAAGAGTCCTTTGGGGAAGGATCTGAGAGAGGCCTCTGACTATCACCCTGCTAGCACCAGAATCCTAACAATGAACACATAAATTATCTTGACAACAGTTTCTCTGCACTCAACCAATGAGATGACTGAATTGCTGGCTTATACCTTGGTTGTAGCCCTGTTAAATGTCTTGAAACACTTCAGTGAAATAGAGAGTCATAAAATAATTTCATAAAGATCAATAGTTTTTGTATATGAACACTTATAAATTTGACAGGAGAATGTTTTATTCATGTTACAAAATATGTAAATATCTGCACCATAAAATTCTATACCACAGAAAAGTAATATAGAAGGAAAATGAAACTTTCTCCTTAGATATATGTATCTGAACTATGAGAGTGGTAACACCAGACTAGCATAAAAGAAGATCCACTTCTCACTTATTAACATGATTTCAATTATTGATTTTCAAATGTAGAAGACACACATTGAAATTTAAACAATTTTTAAAAGTTGAAGGATTTTGAATGTTTTCAGTACCAAGAAATGATAAATGCTTCAGGACATTTACATACTTACTATGACTTTAACAATACACAATGGATGTATCAAAATATCACTTGATATCCAATAAACATACAATTTTTATGTATCAGTTACTGAAGAATTGTAATTGTATATTTCAATCCCTGAAATTTGGTAGCAAGAATGCAGAGTACATTCTAGATTCCTGATAAGAAGAGGAAAGTATTCATTCTTCAATGGTGATTCACTTTTATTTTCTTCTATTTACATGAATAAAAATGAATTATATTGCTCAGTTTTTTAAAATATGCAACAGATTTTAGAACAATAAAACCAAGTATATGCTGCCTACATGAAACTCACCTCACTCATGAAGACTTGAAGAAACTGGAAGGAGTAGGGAAGGGAAATAAAAACTATCTTACATAAGTAGATACCAATATTGAACAAGACTAGTCTTAATGATGTTAGGAAAAAGACTTTAAACAAAAAAATGAAATAAAAAGAGACAGGACATTATAGAATAAAAGAAATAAACAAATTATTAAATTTTTATATATTATGAATATATATACTCA